CTGCTGCTGCTGCTGCTGCTGCTGCTGCCCTGCTGTTGCTGCTGCTGCTGCTGCGCTGCTCCTCCTCCTCCTGCTGCTGCTGCTGCCCTGCTGTTGCTGCTGCTGCTGCTGCGCTGCTCCTCCTCCTCCTGCTGCTGCTGCTGCCCTGCTGCTGCTGCTCCTGCCCTGCTCCCTGTTGCTACTGCTGTTGCTCCTGCCGCTGATGCTCCTGTTGCTGCTGCTACTCGTGCCCTACTCCCTGCTTCTACTGCTGCTGCTCCTGCCCTGCTCCCCGCTGCTACTGCTGCTGCTCCTGTTGCTGCTGCTACTGTTGCTGCTGCTACTCGTGCCCTACTCCCTGCTTCTACTGCTGCTGCCGCCGCCGCTGCTGCTGCTGTTGTTGCTGCTGCTGCTGCTGCTGCTCCTGCCCTTCTGCTGCTGCTGCTGCTGCTGCTGCTCCTGCCCTGCTGCTGCTGTTGCTGCTGCCCTACCGCTGCTGCTGCTGCTCCTCCTGCCCTGTTGCTGCTGCTGCTCCTCCTGCCCTGCTGCTGCTGCTGTTGTTGTTGCTGCTGTTGCAGCTACTGCTGCCGCTCCTGCTCCTGCCCTTCTGGTGCTGCTGCTGGTGCTGTACCGCGCGCGCACACTTACACGCATTACGCCGGCCAGCCGACGTGATCAATGATCGGAGAGCGATTAGATTGACGGGGCTTCCCGATCAGGCGAAGTGAATCTACGCAGTATCCTGGTTGCTTCAGTTCTACAGTTATACAGCCGAGCATCCCTCCCTGCATCCCTGCCTCCCGCATGCCTGCATGCCGATGGCATAGAATAACGATCACGCTCGTTATTACCATCGCTGCACGGGAGAGTAACGATCACGCTCGTTAATACCATCGCTACACGGGAGAGTAACGATCACGCTCGTTATTACCATCGCTACACGGGAGAGTAACGATCATGCTCGTTAATACCATCGCTACACGGGAGAGTAACGATCACGCTCGTTATTACCATCGCTACACGGGAGAGTAACGATCATGCTCGTTAATACCATCGCTACACGGGAGAGTAACGATCACGCTCGTTAATACCATCGCTGCACGGGAGAGTAACGATCACGCTCGTTATTACCATCGCTACACGGGAGAGTAACTATCACGCTCGTTATTACCATCGCTACACGGGAGAGTAACGATCACGCTCGTTATTACCATCGCTACACGGGAGAGTAACGATCACGCTCGTTAATACCATCGCTGCACGGGAGAGTAACGATCACGCTCGTTATTACCATCGCT